GAGAGAGAGAGAGAGAGAGAGAGAGAGAGAGAGAGAGACAGACAGACAGACAGACAGATAGACAGACAGACAGACAGACAGACAAACAGACAGACTAACAAAAACTCATCCACAAGCTTCTACAAAAATTCAGTGCCAGGAAGAAAATATCCGTTGTTTAGAGAAGAAGAAAAGGAGGTGTTGAATGATATTAATATTAAGCACAGTGTACTTATTTCTAAAGCAGAAAATTACCGACAGAGGAAAAGTATTCCTGAAGATTCGAAAAACTTTCGCATGGATTAGAACCTCAAGTGTTCACATATTCTGCAACTTTCAAACTTAAGTCTACTGAGGATCATTTGGTAATCGTTGATATAAAGGTACCGTAGGTGTTTTCGCCCCCCCCCCCCCTCCCTACACCTCAATCGACACATCTAGATCTTTTAGGAGACGGGCTTCAGACCCTGTCTGTCAGAGCGAACCAAGGCTTGGAGGAATAAAACATCCCAGCAGAAAGACCGAAATACTCGATAAAAATGTTTTGTCAGCTCGGGAATCGGAACTCAGGTCTCCTACGTGCAACAGCGGAGCGCCTTACCGCTACACCACAGACACCGGTTCATTTAGTGTGAAACTAACTTGATGAAATTAGAAGTAACAATATTATTATTAATACAGTCTGGCACGCACACCTCACACGTTCAATATCATCCTCGCTCTTATTGGGTTATCTTTTCCGTCCCCATCAACACAATTTAGATCATTTTGGAGGCGGGCTGTGCTTCGACCCTGTCTGCCAGGGCTAACCTAGGCTGATGTGTGAGATGCAGCATCTCAGTTGAAGTTGTAGCCAGGTGGAGAAACTCGACATATTAACATCCACACTCAGGAATCAAGCTCATCTGTTCTGAATGTATCAGTGAGAATAATCCACAATATCCACAATAAATGCATGCACTAACGTTCGTTTTCACGACACACACACACACACACACACACACACACACACACACACACACACACACACAATAAGCACCGAAAGACCAAAATCTTGTTCCAACCAGCTCAAAGAAAGCTATGCAGAGAACCAAACGCCACAATCAGGTAGTACCTCTCCGGAATGATCCATTATATTTATATATATTATAGTATTACAGACACAAATTGAAACACCTAAACACTGAGACGGTTACGTGTCTCTATAATCTACTTTTGAAATGGCATGTCAGTGTCAGATGAGCTGGGCGCGTAGTTAAGTCAGGACAGCAGACAACCAAAACAAGTGGTCAGGACGCCAGACAATTGATGACCAAAAAAACAGCGTGTGTACGGAGAGTTAGGAGAGTTTGAGTTTGAGTAAGATTTGAATGGCACTTGCAAAGCAATTAGGTCATAATAGTGCCGAAGATTAGATGTGGTACTAGCGAGTAACATACATAAAAGAGGAGAGATAATGATGATATATATATTTGAAATGATATTTTATATGTCATTAAAAAGTTTCAGGAAAAGTTTTACGGCACTTGCAACACAATAAGTGCCGAACTTTAGAGTTTTTACTAGAGAGAAAAGAAGGAAGGAAAAAGTATGGTGTATATTTGGTAGGATAAAAGGACCAAACTATACCTGAGCCCCTGCCAACCATCCATGAGTTATGTGAAGGCAAGTGTAAAGCTTGATGACAGAAGAACACTTCAAGGACGCTCTCAGGCCATCTTCCAGACAACTATCAGCACAGATGACAACACGAGGGTGGTTGGAGGGCCCTACTGGTAGGTCCTACTACTTCTTTACTTTCCCTCTGTTGTTTCGGTCTGCCTGTCTTACTTTTCCCCAGTACTAAATGACCATTATTGTGTCGATGTGCTTCTCTTTACTTAATTAAGCAACACCCAATTTCAACCACCACGCCATGCGCAGCAAAATCTTACCTGGCGCCCATACAGCCAAGGCCAACAACATTTTCATTGCAAGCAAAACAGAAGAAAAGGTTGTTCATGAGGCACGAACATCTTCTTAGTTGTAGTTTTAGTTAGAGTTTTACGGCACTTGCAACACAATAAGGTCATATAAGTGCCAAAGATTAGAAATGTTACAAGAGAGTAACAAACTCAAAAAAGAAGGAAGGGAGATAAAGACGATGGATGTTTGATAGGAAGAAAGAAGCAAACCACACCAGAGCACCCGCCAAACACCCACGAGCATCTTCTGCTGACTCAGTACCTGTACAATACAATCTTGTCTAAAACGGGTGCTTGATCAAGACCCGGGTTGGCCTCTCAAGCGATTCCCAGACACGTATACCCTGATACAATTTTGTTGTACCTGTTTGAAGACTTGGTCATTGTTGAGCTTGACAGCTGAACAGCGACAATTATTTGCTCAATTCACGGTTCCGTTAAGTTTTAGTCAGAGTTTTACTGAACTTGCAACACATATCATAAATGCCGAACATTAGAGGTGTTACAAGAGAGTAGCAAAGACACAAAAAGGAGGAGAGATCAGGACGATATATGTTTATTAGGGAAGGAGCCAACCACACTAGAGCACCTGCCAACCACCTGCACTCTGGATTCTAATATTCTCTTTTTTTCTTGAACTAAAGCTGTAATTATTTATTACTGCAATTGCTAGTTGCTCGTCACGCTCTATAAGATGTGCTGAGACTTTGAGCACAGTTGGTATAATAATATTATAATGTCAGATTTGTTTGAGACAAAGAACGAAAACTGTTTTCCAAACTGTTAGGCCACTGTAGTACTGACAATGTCCTTTAACCCTATCTGTGCACCCTGGGGTCATTTTTTACCCCCAGGTTGTATTCTTCACATGTATTCTTTACATTTTAGAATATTTCTAGTGTGAAGATCTCTTTGAAACTTTCAGTATTTCTCAAAAAATCATTTTGACAGACTGCTATGCAAAGCGTATGGATCAGATTAACGAGTAAATTTCCTCTTTGGAAAGTGGTGGAACAGAGTTCCCCTAAGTCGTAGGGATACGATAGTAAAACACGACGTACAGATAGTGTAAACTATAACATGGGAATGGAACTGGTATAAACTCTGTCAATAAAGAGAGGTTTGAGAATAAGAAATGCAATTTTATTGACAATCAAGGCAATAAAAACAAGTTGAAAACATGGAAAAGATCAACAAATGCATACTGAAAAAAACCCAACTGTTCCAGTGTTTAATACAAATACCTTATCAAAAGCTCACCACTTGCAACAATATGTCCACCGAATTGCCAACCCACACACATTACTATATATATGTGTCACGACAGTGGTGGAATCAGGCGTTAGTCACTTTTTGGGGCATGCGGAATTATAGGTCTCATCTTAAAGCTTGTTCAGTTGTCTTGCTATGGGTGAAAAAAAATCCCCATCCTTCTTGAATAGAAGATAAGATATTTGAGATTGAAGAAGTGAAGTCGTCAGGTTTCACAGTTAGAATTAGCGAGAAAATGGCTGCCAAAGTTTCGTTTTTTCCATTGCTTGATAGTCCATGGAAACTGAAAACATACATTTTTAGAGCCTTTAATCAACATTTTAAAGTGAAATCAACCCAGAAATGTGTTCTTAACAAGACAACAATGGTGTTAAGCCAAAAAAAAAAAAAAAATCGGTAAAAATTGCGTAACTGTCAGAAAAACGCAAGTTTCCTCAATTTCATTATTTTAACCAGCGCCTGTTTTCACCATGATGCTTCACATATGAAAGTTTTCAGTCTGTTACAGCATCCAACTAAACACAACAAAATCTTACACACTCAGACAACCATACGCGCAAAAATATATTTCAAGTTGTTCTGCATTCATACAGAGTATTAAACATTGAAACCAGACATTTGTTTTAACACACATCAATAATAGACTCTCAGGAAGCTTGACTTAGTATGAGCAAAAAAATAATTTGCAAGGCTGGGAAAGACAATTCAATCAATACAAACATTTTTATGAGGTCAATAAATGATTCATTTAATAATGTTACTGCACATATTGAGAAAAAAAAAAGTGCAGTATTACCAGAGCTATGATTCATTCTCACATTGGAGACAAACACATACACACACACTAATGCCATCCAATTCTTGACAGACCTTCAACTCTAGGACTGCTAAGCTATAGATGGAAATCAAGGAAACAGTAGCCAGTCTGCAAACCACAGTTACACCACGTTCAGTGGTCAGAGCATAATGGTTTTCACAAGGACCACTGGGGCAGGCATGTTCACAAACGCTAAGAGGCAGGACGAACATACACACAGACAATAACATACAGTTAAGTCCACTTAAACTGAACACAGTTAATCTGAAAAAAGCAGTAAACTGAAGGAAATTAAATCTCCAAATTTATTTTCCTATTTGAGTAACTTTTCTGAGGCGAAAACTTGGCTAATCTGGAGAAAAACTGGCGGTCCTGCAGATTTTTGGATTAAGTGGACTCCGCAGTATTCATCTAAACAAAGTCAAGGACATGCAAGACCAACAACATTGAGCCTTGTACACAAGAAGTACTTTGCATTGAGATATAATTGTAAAATTTCAATCAAAAACAATGTTCTCTGACAATAACACATTCATGTTCATGTTTCATTAATTTTTGCATAAAGTGAGAACCTACCCCCCCCCCAAAAAAAAAAAAAATAAAATAAAATAAAATAAAATAGAATAAAATAAACGCATGTTTTTAATGTATTTACAATATAAAAATGCAAAAAATGAGAGAAATAAATACATTTTTCATTATGTAATTTCCTTGGTGGGCTTTGAGGACATTTTTAAAAAATCCATCTAGTAAGATTTCTCAAACTATTACATCAGTTTAGGTTCCAACAAACAATTTACTAATAATTCAAAGAGATTTTATTTGATAACACATTTAATTTCTAAAAAGAGGAGAAAAAAAGCAGAAAATGGCGCGGAGGTGACATTAACCAACATGGTTTGGAATTTAAATAAAAGAGTAAACTATACCACATAGTTAATGAAGAGATCTGAAAAGTGCAGCATGCACTATTGTGATGCTTTCAAACTCTCTCGGACATGGTACAATTCATGACTACAAGTCAAGTGGTCAGTGAAATGTCATAATGACCAACCTACGGAAGGAACGGAAGGAACGGAAGGAACGCAATGCTAGAAAATATTTAAATGTGGACAGAAAAATCAACCATTCCAACAGCCACCACTTGATGATAATGCTGACATTTTATGTTCGACTAAAAACCTTGTAGCTACTAGTATGCCTCATCAAGTTAAGAAGAAACCATTGTGATTCCTGATTTTAAATTGTCAGCAAGCAGCTAAAACATGGCTTAGCCCAAAAAATAAATTTTTTCAGGTGAGAAAAAAAAACCTGTTTCATTCTTTCAGCAAATTTTACCTAAGTAATGTATCTTTTAAATTAATTTTTTCAACATTTAGTATTTGAATTTCGACAAAATATTTCTTTAGCACATGCAACCTATTCCACAGATTTAGAAACTACAATAGTAATTTTTTTTCTGAAATTTGGGCTTAATACAATCTATTAGTTGGCCGATGAAATAACTAATAACTTTACAGTGTTGAAAGGGGCTTTAAACCTATACAATGTCTCAATTTTCCCATTGTGATTGGTCACCAAGGTTAACTACATAACGCTCACCATAAGTTGTAAGCTCACCCAGGGAGTCAAGTCACTTCATTTCTAAGTAGGCCTACATGAAAAGGAAGATAATTTTACCTGTTGTAGGCTTGATCATGAGTCAGATTGAATTTTTTCCCCTGATGATTTGGCTAAGATCCTGTTCACTTAAGACCCACATTTTTCTTGCTCCCGCGCACCGAGACCGTAGGTGGAAACTATTGTGTATCATTTTTTACTTTAAAGAGCAAAACATTATCAAAGTAGAACAGAAACTAAACTTGATCTACCCCACACATTTTCTTTCTTTGGAATGCACTTGTAGATTCAGTCTTCAAGTCATGGGAATGTATGATGCAGTGACAAGACAATCAGGTCAACATCACAGTTTTAGTTTTAGCAGTTCTACAGCATTTGCAACACATTAAGGTCATATAAGTGTCAAAGACTAGAGGTGTTACAAGAGAGTAACAAACATAAAAAAAGGAGGAGAGAGAAGGATGATATATGTTTGATAGGAAAAAAGGAGCAAACCATACAGAGCACCCGCAAACCATCCACACACCATCATAATGACAGATCGAGCTGGCAGGGCGAACAGAAGGTACCTTGGTAGCTGGCCGGCTTTTCCTTAAAAAATTAAGTGCAAGGGAGATAAAACAGGAATTTTGTTAAAAAATTAAGTGCAAGGGAGATAAAACAGGAATTTTGTCATGCAATTCAATTCGTTTTGATTACTCTTCTTGTTAAAAATGAAAGCTCAGGATAGTTTTCGCTCTTGTAAGAATGAACAAGAAGGTGGAAAAGAAAAAACAATATAAAAAAAACAACAACTTTACAAACATACCTCCTAAATTTCTATTCCCTCAAATTATACAATAGAAATGTTTCTTTGAGTTAAAAGAATAAATGCGAAGACTAGTCCTCAACCCTCCTTATGTCAGAATGATAAAAAGACAATCACTTTATCATTATCAACAAACACCCACTGAAATCATCATCGTCTTTGTACTCCCACAAGGAAAGTGGCATTTCCAACTATAGAACAAAGGAGGCAGTTGATAGACTTAAGGTAAAAAAAGAGACACAGCTCTCTATGTTTTGAACAAGTAGCCTATGTTAAAAATAGGAGACAAAAGTTCTGTCAGCCCTGTTGCTCTGAGCCTCTTGCTCCTCGGTCATATCAGTTCATGGGAACTGCTCAGAAGAACAAAGAACATCACACTGGCTGGTAGCTGTCAATGACGTTGGATGCGATCAGTCCATTAGCTGCAAAGAACAGGAGGCTTGCAGCCCAGATCCATATGTATGTGTTGTGACCCATGAACTCCAAATAGTACGCTGAGAGAAGCCACAGACCCTGAAATAGTAGGAAGGATGAGTTGTTATCTTCAACAAGTTACCATGATAACAGCCTTATTTCACTGGGAATAGATTTGGACAATAATTATTATCCCAGCTGACCTTAGAACACTCAGAAAAATTCTCCACTTCTGGGAAGCATACAGTTCCAGCTGCCCATCATGCGCTCTGGGATTTGAACCCACGACCTTACGGCTGAGAATCTGAGAGCCTAACCACTAGTCCAAAGAATTTAAGGGCAGTAACTATATCAGTATAATGTGAGCTTGCTGGAACCATAGATACAATGCCAGCTTCATGTTCTCAAATTCGGCAAAGTGCGTATAATTTCTGTTGGGTGTCCCCAACACTGGCAGTTTTTATTGCATTTGAATTTTAGAGAAATGTAGAGGATTGATTTTGGGATCCCAAACCTTTTTAAAATTTCTGTCTTCGTGGACGACGTCTTGTCAACCTCTGCTAAATTTTGACACTTGATTTCTACTTTCAGTCAATAAACTTTTTTCCTCTTTGCCACCAGGAAAAGTACCCAGTATTAATCAAAAGAGAGTACATGTGCTTTGTTTGGTGTTGAAGCAAGAGAAAGGAAGAGAGTGCTGCTGATGAGCTCTACGACAAACAAAAAATTGCTCTTGTGTCAATTCGTGATTCTGACGAAGTATCCAACCCATGATCAGAGCATGTCACCCATCCCTCTCATGTTATCACTTCTCTATCCTCAACTTCACCTTCAAACCACCAAACACACACATACACAAACATGCACCTAAACATAAACATAATTTGTGCACCATAGGGTCCATTGGGCATATAAGCTATTTGAATTTGCGACAATTTCGAGAAAAGATTTGATCAAACTTTTGGGATGAGCTATTCAACACATTTGTACCGGTGATAGAGAATACGGTGTTGCCAAAGCAAAGAAAATAGAGTGGGGCAGTGAGGGAATGGCATACTGTTCGAGCTATTCTTTCCACGAATTCAAGTTTCGTGTGTCTGAGCTATCGGTGCTAGACTGTATAATAAATCTCTCTGCTACATTGATATACACAGACCAAAACAAATTCCTGTAAAGACATGCATTTTCCAAGTAAATCCAAAACATAGATTATGGAAGCTATGTTGTGTTGTTACTCCTAAATATTGGAAACATGATAATCAGTATCCAAGAAGACTTTTTACTCTATTGACTCCATTCAAATAGTGCCTAATGATGTAAATGTTGAATTTATAAATTTAAAAAAATAAATTTCATTTTGGGGAAGCATGTTTTAGCTTGATAAAAAAAGAATTCAAAATATAGTGCTCAAAGTTACTGCACACTGAAATGGCAAATAAATAAATAAGAAGGGTTCACAACAATTACGTCCGAACAAAAAGTAATGCCTAATTCAAACCCCAAATTTATTTTTAAATAGCATCCTTACTAAGAAAACAACTTCTTTTATACTTATATATATTGTATAAATACTTCTATTGTCCCTTACCTCCCTTGCCTCTAATTCACCTACTAAGACATTATTTAAGACTAAACTTTGAGCCCACCTGAGCAAGGAACCACAGGACAACAAGCAGGGCAACCCTCAGAGCATTTATTTTCAGACTTGGGATAATCACAGGCAGTAGACTCAGGTACCATAGGAAATACTGCAGAAGACAGTTTGATTAAAATAATAACAACAATAATAGCAATAATAATAATAATAATAATAATGATGATGATAATAATAATAATAATAATAAGAAGAAGAAGAAGCAGAAGAAGAAAAAGAAGATGAAGGAGGAGGAGGAGGAGGAGGAGGAGGAGGAGGAGGAGGAGGAGGAGGAGGAGGAGGAGGAGGAGGAGGAGGAAGAGAGAGGAAGAAGAAGAACAATAATAATAAGAAGAAGATGAATGATAATAATAACAATTGCATTTATATATTAGCACATACACATGCTTTACAGCATGCTCTGTTTGCTCTATAATTGTTAGTACCCTTCAGACTCTAGAACACTCAGAAACATTCTTGGTTTCCCGGAAAGCATACAGTGCAAGCATCCGGTAAGGCACTCAAACACTACAAGAAAGATAAGATCTTCCACAGCCTAAGGCTATATAGCTGGTTCACCTCGGTGAAGTGAGGGAAGTTTGTGTAAATTACCTTTCCCAAAGACACAACATTAGGCCCCTGATGGGGTTTGAACCAAAGACCTTTCAGTTGTGAGTCCAACCACCTAACCACAAGAACAAGAGACATGGTTTGATTGCTAAATAATCAAAAGGCTGCAACTGTAATGATCGATTGCAAATGTCCTAGTGAGATACCTGAGACGTGCAGACTTTGTTGGCCATGACAAAGCAGAATGTACACAGGAACCAGCTTATGGGCGGGTCGTGCTGGAACCTCCAGGATATAGCAAATAGGAGCAGAACCTGTGGTACAAACAGCTGAGGACAAACACACAAACAGTAGGACGAGCACCGTTAGTTTTCAGACTCACAGTTTACAAGAAAGTCAGCAAAATAAAAGCCACATTTTAATAATAATAATAATAAAAAAGATAGCTTTTGTATAGCGCAAATTCCCGCTCAGCAGCAAGCTCTATGCGCCTCACAATCTATACTGTTACAACAGCAGACCTGAGAGTATTCTGAAACAACATTTTCTCAGGACACTGATTAAAACAACAGTAACATTTAAAAGAGGTAGAAGGAGCAAGCCACATTTGGGTGTCCATTAGCCACCTGCTGCAATAAGAAGCGGTAGAAATATAAAGGCAGAATAGAGAATGATTTAAAAAAAAAAAAATCATGTTCGTCAAATTTCACACTTTTTAACCATTTAAAAATGTAAACAGAAGCCATCTAACTGGTGGTTTCAGATAGACAGGCTAAGCTACAGCAACCAACAGTAGCAACAGAGCACAATTAACAATCAAAGCATACAATGAATAAGTAGACAGTACAAATACAAAGAGAAAAAGGAAAATCAGCAGAATAATACAGAAGAGAAAAGCAAATCAATTTATAAAGAGTTGTATCAGCAGAGGGTAGGAATGAAAAGATAAAATTGAGAGCTGAAGTAACATACAGCAGGAATACAAAGACAGCAGAAAGCAGTACTTACAGACAAACGGAATAGAAAGACAGAATAAATAACTGAATTTTAGTAAGTGCTTTACTGCGCTCACTACTGCATACGGTCATATGAGCGCACAGGACACATCAAATATTTCCAGTTGGTAGGGAATTTTGAATTTTTCCCGCGTGGCAGCCGAAGCCTACTCTTATAGATTTTGGGTCACCAAGGGATTTTTTACAGGCGCCACTTGCACAAGGAACCTACGAGTTTTTTCACCCTTATCCGAGAAGGCTAGGTGTTTGATCTTACCTACCATAAGATCAGGGGTGTGACTGAAAGACAGCAGTAAGAAGGAGCCAAGGAGTAGCAGTAGAAAGAATGTAGAAAGAACCAGGAGCCCAGAGGAGGGGGCAAAGGAGGTGATGGGGTGGGAGCAGAAAGTGGAGACGAAAGTAGACAACAGAACATTGTTGGAGAGCATGAAAGGATGTGAAAGAGAAAATTTTAGAGAAGAACATTTTCTGTCTCTATCTGGATTCGAACCTGGGACCTATTGAATGAGAGGCGAACACCTTAACTACAAGAGCACGAGAGCCCCCCCCCCTGAATAAGAACACAATACGAAAGGAAAAAAATAGTTCTATAGCAGAACGTGGGAATACAAAAACAGAAAAAGTTGAAATCAGGAGACAGCGGGATTACAAAAACAGAAGAGAAAGCTGTATTAGCAGACAGTCAGAACACAAAGATGGATAAAGACCTGAATGAGGAGAAAGTATAAATTCAAGGAAAGAATAAAGACCAGTATTATAATCGCAAACCTTGACAAAACCAGGCCAGACCAAGAATTTTGCATGAATTAACATAATAGCCCAAATTAAAAGTCAAAAGTTCAAGCTGCTAAGAACTTCAAATAACACCAATAAGTGTCTTTTGGATTATCCGGGACTGCCCTTAGCTGGTTTTCTTCTTACCTGACTGTCAAATCGTTACCAATCTGTTTTTATTAAAGGGCTTAAAAGTCATCAGATCATGCTCTTAAGTATGGGGTCCCCCAGGGCTCAGTCCTCGGTCCAGTTTTGTTCATCGTTTATACCAATGATAGTACATAACAAGATGGGCCACTTTTCTCTTTGAGCCAATTAAAAAAGTGTCCTCAAAATTTGGTGGCGCCCTCTTCACAAAAGCGCACTCTTTGCGAACAGAGTTACCCTACTTGAGTTTTTAAAAATCAAAGTGAAACTAGCAAGTTTTGGGATAAATTTCGGAAGAACGCTTTTTAAAAATGGTTACGCTGACAAAAAACCTCTTCCGGAGGAAAGGGTGATTGTTTTCTTCGTTTAATTTGACTTTAGAATGAAAGGCGAGAGGTCATTAAAGTATAAATAACCTAAAACTCTGCACTGAACGAACTCGAACTGCTGATGAACAGCAGTCGATCTGCGCACGCAAGGAGGTGCTATTCCTATTCTTCTTCTGGAAAAACGAAAGAGAGCTTCAAAACAGACTGCAGCGCCATCTGAAGCAAAGAGCATACTTCCTGCGGACACTTTTTAGGCTGAGTGACCCATCTTGTCTTGTACTATCTTTGTTTATACTCAACCACTTGTCTAGGAAATAGTTAAATATGACTTAAAATACCATTTCTGTGCTGATGATACCCAAATTTATGGTTCAACATTGTTTACCAACTTAGATGAACTTGTCCATTGTGCTAAAAATTGTATTGCCTTAGTGAAAAACTGGATGAACAAAAATAAATTGATGTTAAATGATAATAAAACAGAAGTCATTCTGGAAGGCAATGCAAAGTCTGTTAAAGAGGTTGACCATGACCACATTACAATTGGTGATGCAAAAATTTTATTTTAAAGAAAAATTAAGAATCTTGGCATCTATTTTGATTCCAGTTTGTCAATGTCGGCTGAGGTAAATCATCTGATCAGCTGCATGTATTTAGAAATAAGAAAAATTAGTAAAATACGTTATCTGATCAATACCAAGTACACTGCTTTACTAGTAACTAGCTTAATTTGATCAAAACTCGATTATTGTAACTCCTTGTTATCAGGAATATCACTGGAGAAAGTAAAAAGACTTCAAACTGTCTAAAACAATGCTGCACATTTAGTTTTACGGAAAAGAAAGCGAGACTCTGCTAAACCTCTTTTACGAACTTTGCATCAGCTTCCTGTTGAGAAAAGGATTGTGTACAAGTTGGCCACCCTGTGTCACAAATGTTTGAATGATAATGCACCATCATATTTATCAAATCTGTTAAGACTGTACATTCCAACTCGCAGTCTAAGGTCATCAGCTGACAAAAATAAATTTATTTTACCATCTATGAAACTTAAAACAATGGGTGAAAGGGCATTTGAATACCAAGGCCCCAAGATCTGGAATGCTTTATCAAGTACGTTGAGAGAAATCAAATCTTTTGATTCATTCAAATGTCAGCTGAAGTCGTTTCTGTTTTTAAATTAATTAGATGAATATTTGAAATAATTTTCTTTAGTCAGAACACAACGTTTCATGTTACTGTTGTATGTTGTACTGTATTGTAAAGCGCTCAGTGCCTGTGCACTTTATTCGGGGTTGAGCGCTATATAAAAGTCATTTATTATTATTATTATTATTACCATCCAACTTACCAAGAGTCTCAGACACAGTGGCAGGCCAGCAGATGGATCCGAGAGCAGGTAGAGGAGATAGAAGTATGGGGAGAAGTTGTGCTTTATATCACCTCGTACAATGTGATAAAAGTAGGTCTCGTACAAAAACACCCTGCCATAGCTGTGGAAGAACAGCAAAGCCAGACTGTCAGTCACTGCCCCAGGAAATTCACAATAACTGCACCGCATCATCAACTTTTACTTTTCCCATCCAGCAGCCACCTGAGTTCTAGCCCTTCAGCCTGAAACATCATCAACAAAGTCAGACTTGGCGATCTGCTCCAGTCAGTTCATCACAAGAAAAGAGCTATTGAAAATCAACGCACAACTTCATATTCATAGCCACCAATGCTGATAAAAACATTTTGATTAACTTTTCAAGTAAAGTTTCATTTAGAACAATATTTCCTCTCGCCCTTAGTTAACAATGTAGCCAACTAACACTCCCGATCAAACATACAATTATTAAAAGAGTCATCAGCAGAATTTTGGGGGATTTTTTTAACACTACCTAAAGCAGCGAGCGACCACTATTGTAGCGTAGTCTTTAGTTAAAAATCAGTGTTTTTCTACATTAAACACATTATAATAAAAGACAAAAATAACAAAATCAGACTGTTGCATTAGTAGTTACCATTTCCGTCTTCTCCTGTAAACAAATTATATGGTATTCAGACTCTACCATATAGCACAAAATAGCAGTTTGCTTGGGCATTTGTGGTGGAATAGAGGATGAAACTCTGATCTGGCATGAAAAATACAAACTTTTTCCAAATCTTTTCACTTATTTGCCAGAATCGTCCAAAACCACTGAGCATTTTAGTTTGATTTTTAAGAAAAAAAATGTAAAGAGACAGTATTAATCTGAGCATCTTTTCAAACTGAAACCACAACTGTGTGAGTCGGAGTGACTTTAATAAAAAAAAATTAGGACTAGATAGAATATCTATTTGAATCTTCCTTGTAACTTCAAAATATGATGCTATCAATCAGAATATCTCTCCTTCTACTTTTTCAAAGAGCACAATTTCCTACAGAAAGAAGCAGATTCCAGTCAAAGCCCCAAGAACAAGTGAGGCCACACCGATGAACAATCTGCACTCAGGGGATGGCAGTAAGATGGCGCGGAGATTTTTTCGGGAGAATGGCACTGGAGTTTTAGGATCTTCATCCTTTTTCTGAAACATGAGAAAGTTAAGACAATAAATGAATAATTGCTTTCTACAATGAACTTGCAATTGTAGGAAAAAATTAAAAAATTAATAAAGCAATAAAAAATGTAGTTTTCAGTCAAAAGTTGAAATGTTCTTATTTAGTACTACAACACTCCATACTTTGGCTACAAGTCGAAAACTGGAAAGTACAGTTTACACCACCTGACATCCCCCCCTCTCTCCATCTATCTATTCTCCACCAATCCCAGTTTTCTGTACCAGCTTCAATACTGTTAAGGGACATCATAAAAAAACAAAAACTAACCATGTAGGGCTCACGGTCAAAGGATGCAAATTTTAACATTAGCTGTTTCAGAGACAGACCATTTCAATTTTTTCCACTGTACCCCATTTGTGTCCACATGCTCAATTAAAGCCGTAACAGGGGGCTCTCGTGGCCTAGAGGTAAAGGTGTTGGCTTCTCATTCGAAGGTCCCAGGTTCGAATCCGGGTAGCAACCGAAAAATTTTCATCTCTAAAATTGTCTCCTTTCACCTCCTTTCCTGCTCTCTAGCAATGTTCTGTTGTCTGCTTTCGTCTCGTCTTTCTGCCCCCTCCCCCTCACCTCCTTTGCCCCTCCTCTGGGCTCCCGACTCTTTTTGCAGCCTTTCTACTGCTACTCCTCAGCTCCTTCTTACTGCTGTCTTTCAGCCACACCCCTGATCTTCTGGTAGGAAAGATCTACACCTAGCCTCCTCGGACAAAGGCGAAAAATCTTCGAGGGCCCGTGAGCAAGTTGCGCATGTCAAAGATCCATTGGTGGTCTACAATCGATAAGAGTAGGCTTCGTCCGCCACCCGCGCAAAATTCAAAATTTCTTACCAACATGAAAAGTTTAATGCGTCCCGTGCGCTCATATGACCTTATGCAGTTGCGAGCGCCGTAAAACACTTTTTAAAAAAAAGCCGTAACACCACCACAAATGGACAAAAGAGAAAGACAGTCGACAAAATGTTCTGTCCAATAAAGAGAAGGAAGAGAAAACGATGGAGTACCGGCAACCCAGAATTTTGTCTTTCATAAACTGATATCCTTGGCACAAGACATGCATGAAATAGGGCTCAAGTAGATAACAGTACTTGTTGCTACCACATGACGTTTACTGCACATTGTTATTCTTCTTGATCTGACAGAATTATGGCCTTCAGTAGCATAATCTTGGCTTGAAAAGTAGAGAATTCTATTTAAAGGCACTATTTTACATACAGTATTGCTGGGAATTTTTCAAATGCTTTCTTGTCACTTACCATAGACGAATGACTTTTCCCCAAATACAAATAGATGGGTAAAGCAAAGGTGACAGGGTAGATTTTGAAGTGGACGGATAAGGAATAAAAGATTGCAGCCAGTACAGTCCTCCCATTGATGAGGTAGTCCAGAGATTGCAGCACTAGGAACGCCATGACAGACTCCGCATTGCCTCGGCTTGACACTGTTGCCGGGAGCAGATTCAACAACCACGCCAGGGCACAGTTTTTGGCCATGTTCTCCTGGCAGCCTGATTTGCGTACAATTTTATAGATGAGGGACCCAACCAGAATGTCAAAGGCAACAAAGATGATTTTTCCTGCCACAGGAGACAGCCAGATGTTGAGTGTGAGGATCCAAGCCAGGATGGGAGGGTAGCGGTATGTCGACCTCAAGTATGGAGACTCTCCCTAGAACATTGAATAGAATTGTTAGGATTATGCTTAAAAACAAATAAACAAATATATACAAATTCAGCGCACAAAAAGATTTATTCTCCACAGTAACTTCCAAGCCCAAAACAAAAGTGCTAAATTAGTAATTAGAATGCAATCAAATCACTTCACAAAATTAAAAGATATACATATATACATATATATATATATAAATAGATTTTCAGAATTAAATCATGTATATTTCTAAACTCTAAAATAAAACCCTTTCATTCAATGTACTATGAATCGAAAATAAAGAAACAAAACATTTGAACATAAACGCCTATGACACTCAGTGTCAATCTAAAAGTCTCACCTTTGTGACATACTCTGCTGCATCAGTGAAGACGTAATAGTCCACATCGGTATACTTCACTGCCATGTTAGCATCTTGCCACTGACCATATGCAATCATTGCCAAGCGCACAACAAAGGCAAGTATGCACCATTGCTTTATGGTAAGCATCTTTCTTCTTTGCAACCTGTGGAAACATAGAATCATTAGATCTAAACCTTGTAGGCTACATTAATTGTTCTTCAAACAAGAGATTAAAGGATGTCAAATTTTCTGTTCATTGCGCCATTAGACAAAATTGACACAATCTTGCGAACAGTAAAGTTGAAATAAGGACCCTAAAGACTTTCTTCTAACTTGAAAAACTAGGCAAGAGGTGGACTACAAAATAAATGTTAAAATAGGTTTATCTAAGTTAAAAACAGGATCGGCATTTGCAGTGTACTGGTTAGGCACATATTGAAAGCTCAGTTCAAGAATCTTCTTATTGTTCTCTAAATTCCATCATTTCCTTTGCCTCATCTTTTTGGATTCTTCATATCATATAGCGGTTGGCTGTGTTAGGGCTTCACATCGGCAGCGTTCAAGGCAAAAAGCTGCATATATATGGTGTGATAAGAGAAGTAGGCCTATCTGAGGCTGACAGCCAAGAGGTGGCACACCCAAGTTGCTAATCTTTCTCTCAAGAGACAGCAGACATGGAAGCTTGCACCAGGCCACTGCCCACACAGCTGCTTTGCTCTATGTGAGAGTGAAATGAAGATAGGATAACAAAATACTTTCTTGTCTTTGAGCAGGAAAGGTAAAAACACTAGAAATGAACTTTAAAGTTTTAATATGAAGAGAAAATTAAAGCTGACATATTTAAAGTTATAAAAAGATAAATATTAGTATGACATACAATGTGCATAGATAAAAAATCAACAGTAATACATTGTTCATTTCGAAAGAAGCGTTCACAGAGACATAAAAAGAAATTTCTTTCGTGTCTTTTTTTTGTAGTTATAGAGACTAGTCTACTCCTGGAGTTTTACTATTATGGTTTGGTTTTGTCTCATTTTATTTAACTTATTCTATAAGAATGTGGAGTTTTGAACCATGTTTTTTAACCCCTTGACTGCTAACTGTATGTACCACATACACTGAAGAAAATTGGTCTATCCTGTGCAGGACATCACAGGTCACAATCTTTTCAAAACATTTTTTGTGTAAGTGTTTTATGGCGCTCGCAACTGCATAAGGTCATATGAGTGCGCGGGACACGTTAAACATTTTCAGTTGGTAGGAAATTTTGAATTTTGCGCGGGTGGTGGCCGAAGCCTACTCTTATCGATCCACCAAGGGATCTTTAACGTGCGCAACTTGCACACGGGACCTCCAAGATTTCTCGCCCTTGTCTGAGAAGACTTGGTGTAGATCTTTCCTACCAGAAAATCAAGGGTGTGGCTGAAAAAGAGAAATAAGAAGGAGACAAGGAGTAGCAGTAGAAAGACCTCAGAAAGAGTAAGGAGCCTAGAGGAGGGCGCAAAGGAGGCGAGGGGGTGGGGGCAGAAAGTGGAGATGAAAGCAGACGGCAGAGTATTGCTAGAGAGCAGGAAAGGAGGTGAAAGAAGACAATGTTAGAGAAGAACATTTTTCGGTCGCAACCCGGATTCGAACCCAGAACCTTTGAATGAGAGGCGAACACCTTAACCTCTATGCCACCAGAGCCCCCCCACAATCTTTTGATAATTGTTCGCTTATTGTAAGAGACTGGTAGAAAGAGAAACGGTGAGATAAATTCATCTACTAACAAAACCTTCATGAGAACAAGACGTAATGATGTAAATAACTAGAAAGAACTAAGGCTGAACAAATGCTCAGATTCTACAAGTTGGCTTTGTCTCGCACATCGGTAACAAAGCTTGCGCTTCTCATCAAACTATATAATATATCAATAGAAAGACAAATGAAGAAATGGAATTGTCCATAGACAAGACTCGGGTAGAAGAAGCTATAAACAATGTTAACAACGTGTATAGAACTGACACAAGCGTTCCGAATCGACGCATCAGGTCTCGTACGAAGTGTGTAAGAAAAACAACACATCTCGCTTTGTTTTTGTGTTGTAGAATTCGCTCTTTCCATCCAATTGTCTATATACAGGGTGATCAAAAAAAAACTTCACAACTTGTTTTGTAAATATCTCCCTCCATACTGAAGTTTTGCTTTTCAGATTTGAACATAACGTTTGAAAGCCAAAAGGAATTTTTCTGATATGTATTTTAGATAAGTCCTTTGAATGGTTTTGCTCTATATCCCATATTAAAAAAAACAACCCATTTTCAACCTTGTCGCCATTTTCATAGCATGACGCACCAGTTCATATTAGGCCTATCACTAAAACTTAAACAACAATCGCGCCAAATTGCAAGCTACAGCAGTCTAACAAGTCAACAGAAGTCAGCAGATATTATTTTTCCAAAATTTTGTTTGCCAACTGAGATCATGGCTACATTTAGTAAAGAGCCGATAGCTTTTTGTATTGATCATTACCTCTCCACAAACTCACAATCCCTGACATTTCGTAAGTTCTACGCACGGCATGGAGAGAATGCTTAGGAGCCCTCAAGACCTTTGGCATCATGAGTAGAGTGGTTCCGTCAGTTTGGATCTATAACGAATCAGAACTAAAAATCTTTTTAAAAAAATGACCACTTCAGGTCGAACACGCACCATGCACAGCCCTTTTTAAAAAAAAACGTCACCAGAGTGCTGAGTCCCATGAGACATTTCGAAGACGATCTGCAGCTAGGACTTTCCTACACATCAACAGTCTGCATTCTCATGGTAGATCTTAACCTACGGCTATACCATGTTCGTCTTCGCTAGGCCGAGATGATATGGATTAGAGCATGACAATGAGTTCATGATTCCTCGATTGTCTTGTAAAGAGGGATCATTTCCTTGATGACATTTGGTTTAGTGCAAAGCCCATTTTCACCCTGGGGGATATGGTAACTCCAAAAATGCTGTCTATTGGGCACCCCACTCTATTGTCTCTAGAAGCCACTTCTTAGTGAACATGTACAGTGTATGTGGCTTTAAAGACTCGTGGTTTAACAGGTCCATGTGTAAGGGCACCACAGAACATTTCGAACGACGCGTTAAAAAGGTGTCGAGTCCAAAGGAGGGAATGTGGAGCACTGCTTCTAGGAATTTCAGAATGAAATCATTAGGTTTTTAAACCTTTGTAAAAGAGAATTGAGGATTCTTTCGCAGAACTTGCCAATAATAATAATAATAATAAACAGCATTTGTATAGTGCATATTCCCGCTCAACAGCAGGCTCTATGCGCTTTACACTATATTATTACCCCAGCAGACCATAGAACACTCCGAAACATTCTCAGCTTCCGCGGAAGCATACAGTGCAAGCTGCGGATTTCACGCGCTCAAACACTATCAAACTGACAAGATCTTTCTCTGTCTATAGCTGGGTTCCCATTTCCACCTGGGTGAAGTGAGGAAAATTTGTGCAAAGTGCCTTTCCCAAGGACACAACGTCGGGCCCCTGACGGGATTCGAACCCATGACCTTACGGTTGCGAGTCCGAGAGCCTAACCAATACAGGACGTGAGTGATATTGGGCGGTAGTTTTTAGGGTCATTTGCCTTCTTTCCTTTCTTTAAGATTGGGTTTATAGTGGCTAGTTTCCATGCTTTAGGCAGATTTCCCTCAGTCCATGTTCTGTTGTAGAGCTTAAGAAGTAGCAATTTGGCTTTTTCACCAAGGTTTTGTAGCATCTCATTGTGTACTTTATCAGGACCTGGACTTTTTCGCTTCTTCAGTTTCTTGATTGCACAGTCCAACTCTCGCTTAGTTAAGAAGTCCTGGAATATACTCGGTGTCATCAAATCTCTCTTTTTTCCTTTCAGAACACTCAGTAGACCTCTGTCCAGATCATTCCTTTTGCTGCTTTTGCTAACGGAGGCAAAATGTTTATTGAAGTGTTCGGCTTTTTTGAACTCGCTGGTGAGAACTTCGGTTTCTGTGTGTAGTGGTTTGGGGTTTTCTTTCCTTTTTTCGCCAGTGAGGTTATTTAGAAGTGACCAAGCTTCACGTCCACCTTGACGTAAATTGAGTCCCTCACACTTCTGAGTCCAGGCTTCCTTCTTAGATTCCTTGGTGACAAGTTTAGCCTGTGCTACGGCCTTTTTGTATCTAATTTTCTTGTCCATATTTTTTAGATCTTTCTCATATTCATGTCTGGCATTTGGAGCACTCATTCCAAAAGGGTTTATTGTTGGTTCTGAACCCCTGTGGGATACTCTTCTTTGCAGCATCTAAAATGGTGGAGGTGAGTTCACTATTAAGGGCGTCTATACATTTATTGTCTAGATCATCCAGTTTAACGGTGTCCTCAGCTGTTTTTCTGAAGAGATCCCAGTTTGCCTTTTTGAAGTTCCAACCGATTCTTCTTTTCCTTTGTCTGTGTTTCAGTATACTGATTTTGGTGAGAACGGGACGAAGGTCACTAGATATACAATCTAGCACCTCTTCACTGCAGCAGTTGTGTAAATCAGCAGAGACCAGGGTGAGATCTGGTCTGTGGAGGGTCCCATGTCTCTTATGAAGAAGTGTTTTGATTGAATCTTCATCTTGAAGAAGGATGAGGTTAGAGGACTGACATAGTTTTTCAATCCTCTTACCTGTGTTGTTTTGGTCAGCATAGCCCCAAAGGGGGGAGTGTCCGTTAAGGTCACCAGCTATGACCGTCTTCTTAAAGATAGTGCTCTGTTCCATGAAGTTCAGAGTGTTACTTGGGGGACAATAGATGTTATAAAGTATGAGCTTGCTGTTGCCATACCACAGGGTGACTTCATAAGTGTCTGTGGGGTGCCAATTAAGGAGCTCTACTTCACCCTGGATGTCATTTCTGATATAGGTCATAATCCCTTGGCAACCTTCACATTTACATGGATAAGGGGTATACCCAGTGATGTTTATGTCACAGTATAAATGGAGAGTTTCCTGTAATAGAGCAATGTGGACTTTCTTTTCATACAAAACTTTCCCCAATTGTGTTTTCTTCTTGTCCAAGCCACAGACATTTGCCAGAAGAATATTGAAGTCTATAAGCTTCTCTTTTCCGTTGCCAGTTGCAGGGGGTGTTTTCTTCTTGTTTTTCCATTTTCTCTGCTTTCTGATTTTCTTTTTCTTCCAATAACCATCCACCAGGCCAGCTTGGTTGCCCAGTAAGACCAGGGGGAGACCTTGATTACTGAGGCGGCGTCTCAGCTCGTATGGGATTCTATCATTCGTGAATAGCATAAAAAACTGGTGGTTCTGTGATTTTCCTTCCATCCCGGGGTAGGAGATAAAGCAGTGGCAGTGCAATACCACAAACAAAAACCCAACTCCATCACAGAGAGATTGTAAGAAAAATGAATGGGTATGTTGGTGTCTGTTGTATTATATTGAGAAGTTGTTTGAGGAGATAAAGAAGAGAAAGACGCTATTAGGAGAATAGTTGCTGTGTGTTGCTGAAGTACAGAAATTGTAATATAATAATAATAATACTAATAGTAATAATAATACCAATTGGAAGCTAGATTTACCCCCCTCCCAGAGCAATCTTGAGTCCTCTCATCGGAGAGATGGGGGCAGTGGAAGGCATGGCAGATCCCAGAGGGTTAATGTTGTCAAGAAGCAAGACGTAAATGGTCTCTGCACCTTCTCCGCAGTCATAGGGCTCTCCGATAAGTGCATGATTAATACATGTATGTAGCTGGGTATTCCCTACGTAAAGTCACCTCCAGTACAGTGCTGACAATGAGCCTCTGCTTTCCACCCCACCAATACCCGTCCCAACTCCAGGTGAAAAAAAGGTTGTCGATGGAGAGAGGAGAAAAGAAAAGTTAATAAATGTAATAAAGTAAAACAATAAAAACAATAAATAGCAAGAGAAAGATACATGATAGTAAAGTAATATGTCTCTTTTCGGGGTCATCCCTTGACCCGTTAGCTTCCTCTTTTTCTTTTCCTATTCGAAGAGTACTAAACCCCCCCACCACGAAAAGGTGGGTTCATTTGGGGGGGATTCAAAACTTAGTAAAAGCTGAAATATCAACAAAAAAAACCAGCCCCCCCAAAAAACAACAACAAACAAACAACAACACAAAAAACAACTACAACAACAAAAAAACAAGAAGAATAACCAACAAAACAACCCAAGAAGGGTGACAAATGAAGAAAGAGAAAGATGGAGGTGACGATGATCTTTAACCTTTAGTGCCAACCCTAACATTCTTAGCAAACCCCAGGAGTACCATGCACTAAATCAGAAAACCCCCACAATTTTTCGCTACTGTACAAAAAGACATGACAGAACAGATTTTTTTCCCCCGATTTCGAATAATGACTGAAAAATTAATGTAGTCCTTCAGCTGATAGATCTAGTTTTAAAAGCCACACGAGCTACGTAACGCAATTTGATTTTCCACGATCGTCGAATTTGGCCTTGCACCCGTATATGGACGACTGTTGGAAATCGCACTGAAAGGGTTAAAATATCGGTCTACAGCTATAAATTTATATATATATATAAATATATATATATATAATAATAATGAGTTATATATATATAATAATGAGTTATGGGAGCTGAACATTTTAAAAGTCAGACGGCGAATTGTTAAACGAAATGCAACTTGGTTTTTCGACGATCATCGAATTTGGCACCTCATGCTCCCTTAATTCCCTTATATACCCCTGCCATTTCAGCCATT